GGAGTTTCAGTGACCATCGCCGCGGACAGGGCAGGAACTCCATCACCTAGCACGCGGAGGAGACTAGGATTTTAGGAGAGACTTTTATCTTTCATTTCCCTAGGCTCTACACCTCTAACTCTTACTAGGCGTGGACTAAGCGACCATGCAGCTCTAGGAGACTGTGAAGGATCTTTTTTGCAGTAAGAGAGACTGTGAGGGTCTAGGTAAAGGGAAAACCAGGAGAACTCAGGATTCAGCGGGAGATGCAGACTTGCTCCTACCCTACCAGCATGTGCTGCAGTCTGAGTAGATAAAAATGTGCCAGCTGAGGACAAGAGCGAACGTAACACCTTCTTAAACTGCTTCTACGTGAACTGAGCTCAACTCAGTCTCACCGAGAATACAGAGACTGCGTGCGACTCATTGAGAGGCCCTCATCCACCTCCCACCAGCCCATACAGATGAAGAGAAAGAGGTACGCACGCCTTTGTACCTGTGAAGATAGAGGCAGCAAAGAAGAAATCGAGAAAACCCCACGGCAACAAAACCAGGTGCCCAGAACAACTGGTACATAAAGACAAAGACGGGATTAGGACACACACAGGCCATGTCTGCATTAGACCTTCCTCCCTCTTTAGGCCTCTTTATAATTAGCAACGGTCCAGCCCCAAAAGTTCTAGTGCAGACACAGGCACCGAGAGCAGCCCATGAAGTGTGAGACACGCAGAGGAAAAGAGAACCCAGGAGGGCGTAGTGACATACCCATTGCAGTCTGAAGTCTCTCCTACCTTTCGGAGATTTCAAGGCCTGGTTTCTTGCCTGGTTTTTAGCTCTAAATTCACTTCATCCTGGGGAGGAAAGAGAAGGGAGACAGTTAATACACAAGACGCACCTGAGCTGGGCAAAGGCACAGAGACTCACAGAGGCCCCAGATGAAACACGGGGGCAAGCGAGAACCCAGCTACGAGCAGGGCCAGTGCGGGGCATCCAGGCTTTGCATGGAAGGAAGGAGCCCTCCTGCCCCTGCTGGCACTGTGCAGCGCGGTGCACAGCGATCCTGCACCGCGCTGCACATGAGACCCCTAACCAGGGCTGGAAATAATTTAGTGGAGGGAGAGCAGCTGCTACTCGGCTAAGTCCCGCTTCCCAGGTACCACAGACCTTGTACCGATCTGCACCACGATCTGCCGGCGCGGCCTCCTCTGCTACCTGCCCGCTTCTCCCCTTGGCAGCCTTCCTGCTTCCCCTGCTGGCCCCCCTCCCCAGAGGGTCACCAGCGCGCTAACGCCAAGGCCGCGCTCGTACGCCAGCGGGGCACCAGCTCACGGGGTGCAGGACAGGGCTGCAAGGCACCGAACCCCCTTATCCGCTCATCTGCGCTCCTCCGCTCCCGGAGAACGCAGCGAGCGAGGAGGAAGGAGAAAAGGGATAGGGGGGAAAAAAAAAGTCACAGCAAAACACACGAAAAGTCAATTGAATTATTTAAAACCATATGTTCCAAAAATGTGACGGAGCATAAAAGCCGTGCCGTGAGACTTCCGGAGGGGGTTATCCCGCGCAGCAGAGCTCGCAGGAGGAGCGCGACTGCTCCGCGCCAGCCAGCCACGCGCTCCCCGCTCCCAGACCGGGG